TTAGTAGATATAGATAATATGTAGTTTTCAAAAAAGTGATTACTCTATTAAAAATAGTAGAGATAAGTTACTCACTTTAGTTACTTTTCTCGAGCATATGTTGTGCTCTATTTTAAAATTAAACAATCATTTTTCGGAAGCAGTAAACTCATGAAATAATTCTTGTTTAGCTTTTTCTAAGCCCCAGCGACGTAAGTCGAGATCATGTACAGGAAGATTAGATTCTCGAGCTTGTTCAAATTTATGATAAACATAATTATTAATCTTTTCCCATTTTTACGTTCTCGTTCCTCCCTTTTCAATATAAGCACGAAAACGAGATATGTATGATGAATGTGTAACACGTTTAAATCGACGCTTCACACCCTTCCAAGACCGACGGCGTTTTCCTGTCAACGGATTTCTTTCATCATAATATTCAATAACCTTTTTCATACAATCTAAAGAAAATTTTTGAAGAAGACCATCACTGTCGTCGTTGTCCGTGTCGTTGAAATCAGGATCTAATTCAGAGTCTTCTGATACAGCATATTGATCAATTTCATCTTCGGTTAAATCATCGGAAATGTAATCAAGAGAAGTTTCACTTTCTACAGTAAACTCATGACAGTTGATAATTGTATTTAATAATTCAGCTAAATGATTGGTAACCTCTTCTTCACGTGCTGATGGAGATTGAAGACTAATTTTTCTCGATCCTGTAGATTGAGAAAACTTCTCTGTGAGAAAAGAACATACAACCGATGCATTTATCATTTTTGTCAGAAACGAATAAAATGAATATCAGATAACCTATACAATATATTTTGCTCTTCTCTTTCCTATACACGTGGTTATAGTTCAGTTCGTCCAAGTAAATTACTTTGGTTTATTTCTTCCCATTCAATGATATATATAATTCATACATCAAAGATATTCGCTAACACTATATATGTAATTTATCATATAGGTGCCGTTGGAGCCAATAAGATAGGAATGAAAATGAATATACTATTGTGAAAGACTACGATTATCTTACAATTCTAGG